TACAGCATTTTTATTAATTTACATTTTTTTTTTGTTGTTAAATTTGACACCGATATCTACTTGTAACATTTAAATGGTTCGGAGCAAGAGGGTTAAAATCGCTTAGAGTCCATTTTTTAATTGCCCGCCTGTGGGGCGTGGGACCCACGTTGGTAAACAACGTAATAGATGATTGTGTAAAAAAAAAAACAACAGTTTCATGTAATTTGTATAGTTACGGAAATAACTGGGGAACTTTCTAGATTTTTAACCATTATGAAATGGCGAATAATATCCGTTGCCTATAGACATAAAAAATAACATAATATACTTTTTTATGCCCATGAAGGGTATCATGGGTGACACAGTACACTTACTGTGCCGCCTAGGATACCCTTCATGCGTTGCAATGTTTCCGTGATCTGAAATTTTACTGGTCAAATCAAACCATCTCCAAGCAAGGACAATTGTTTGACGGTAGGAATAGACAGGGATATCCAAGCAGACTACTTTTGCATACAAATTTCCTCTGATAACAGGTAACTCAATAGACGATAGAGGATTTATATACAATTATTTTTATCGTGGTCTTTTCTCAGGATGAGAAAAGATTTTCAGGTTTAGAAGGGAAAAGTTTTTAGGCCACACTTTTTTAAGAAATTTCAAAAAGAACGAATTCCTGATTTTCTCTTCTTCCCTTTAGTTTGGACTGATCTGCTTTTTTTTTCTAAATTCTGGTTTAATTTTGACCATTATAAACAATATGGTTTATTTGCTGTAATTTAAAGCCAGTAGGGCTAATTCTGAGGTACTATTTTATTAATCTTATCTCTTTACTTAATACCGTCATAGTCGTAGAATAATGACGGATCTTTATATGTAATATTTGTCAGATCCGTCAGTATTCTACGACTATGACGATATCTGAATTTGATAATTGCCCAAATTACTATTTTATGGACCATCGTAAACTAAAATTTTAATTTTAATTTATTAAAAATTTAGTTCATATTGGTCTTTATAATAAAGATTTATAGAAATGTCGTCTCAGAATCGATCCCAATATTTTTTCGTTCTTATACGCTTCAGCCTCATGTACAGTGCAGTTTCAGAGATTTTTTTCCCATGAACGCTCAGGCTATGGAATGAGTTCCCTGCCGAGGTTTTCCCTATAGTATGGAGTTCTTCAAAAAGGGTGTATTTAGGTTTCTTCTGGGTCGACAACGCTCACGTGACACCTTTAGTATTGCTGGTGTCCATAGGCTATAGCAGTGTTTTTCAACCTTTTTCATGACACGATCCCCTTAGTATGAAAAAATGTGACTCCCGCTCTACTACTTTACTGGGTGAAGTTTTTTTTATTTGTGCATGGACGAGTTTTTTTTTTGATGAGTGAAAATGGTATGGTAACCCCGTCAGCGCTAACGGGATACGCTGGCGGAGCACCAGTGAAGGGTGATCGATGAGAATGAAAACAGGCCAGTTAGCCCATCATGATGAATTCATCAGGAATTAACCATAATAGTTTCCAGGGGAACCGCGAGGACGACCTGGTTTGGGTATATTGCTAGCAATGGGATTCTCAGTCTCCATCACTAACAATCCCTTTCCCCCCTGCATGGACGAGTTTGGTTTTTATTTATTTGTTAATTGAAATTAACATACAAAAATAAAATGTTTTAATTATCATTCTATTCTTGATAAATCTATCTTAATAACTTTTTTTACTGCGGTACTTTTCGCGACCCCCTTATAGAGGCTTTGCGACCCCCCAAAGGGTTTACACTTTAGAAAACACTAGGCTACAGTGACCGTTTACCATTAGACGGGCTGTGCTTGTTTGCCAACTTTGAGATATAAAAAAAAAATATTTAATTTGGATTTACATTGAAGTACGCAAGTGTTCGATTTAAAATGGCATCGTTGAATGGTAATTTTTGTTTTAAACACCTACAAAGAAAAATAGGGCAAGGATCTTGTATAAACTTATAGAATACATAGCAACTAAAACAATATATGATTAATTTTCATTAAGTTACTATGCCAACGCCAATCACGTCGTTTTGAGGTCAAGTGTCCAGCCTCGGAAACTACGCTACGGCATTTTAATATTCACGGTAAATGGTTACGTGGAACTTATTTGATAAGATGGACAGGTGCGAATGTAACTCGATATCATCCTCAACATAACACCATTTAACATTCCACCGTTGGACACGTGTCGCTTCCCATAAGAGGAGCATATTAGCCCATAATTAAGTAGGCTGATTGAATTTTATATACAAGTTATCCTCGTCTTGCCTTAATTTTTTTTAAATGTTTAATGCTGAAATAAAAACTATAGAGCTATGTTCTAATTTATGCTTCTCAGATAAAACTGCTTTCCGAATGGGGTAAATTTATGATAAAAAAATGAAGTTTAGAATAAATAATTCTAGCGTTAAAGATTAGAATTAGACTTTATACTACTGTGTAGAGATGGGTAACATATTACAATATCTATATTTTAGTTACAATCTATATACTGGTATCATTACGAATATATTATAAGTCGGTTATCCAAAGAATAATATTGGACAACATACTTTTGATCCATATTATCCATGCTTACTAATTTGAATTCGCAATGTACTATGGTGTTTTTTATTCTCAGTATTTGTTTCGGTATTTTTTATACAACTTAGAATGGCAAACAAGCTGACGGCCCACCTGATGGAAAGTGGTAACCGTATATTGTATTTTTATTCTGTGAGCACATGCAAACTGTAAAGGTTCTTTTTCGCAATATATTTTAACTCCCGTTTGCATGTCTATTATGTCATGCCTTTTAGTCTATTTTCAAGATTTTTTAAACATTCACACAACACTCAATTTTTTATTCACCTTGTTTAATATGAATAAAATTATACCTCAAATATTAGGAAAAAAAAAAAAAAAACAAAATTAAAGAGGGCTTGGCGAAAATTAATAATCTTTCAGATTGTAGAGGAATGTCACTGCACAATATTGTTGTTAGTTCGACAGAGAAATACCCTGATTGAAGGATAAGCAAAGTGACAATAGACAATAGCTGAAAGAACCATGCGGCCAACCGCAGTGAAATGGAGTGACGACCTCAAATACATTATAAGGGGTCAGTGAATGAAGGTGGCTCAGGACCGCTCTTTATAGAAGTCAATGAGGGAGGACTATGTTCAGCAGTGGACAGGTAATGTCTGAGATGATTATGATGATGATATATTGATTATATCATAATAATGCCTAACGGCTAGATAACTTTTTTTTTATACAACTTAGAATGGCAAACAAGCTGACGGCCCACCTGATGGAAAGTGGTAACCGTCGCCTATAGACATGAGCAGTGCCATGGACATAACAGAGTATACTGTTTCGCCCATGATAACCCCCATGCGTTGCCATTCCTGAGGACTCAGGTGTTATTCCTCTGTAACCAGTAAATTCACGCCATATCCCACCCTTCAAACCGAAATACAGCCATGCAAACACAACTGCTTCACGGCAGAAACACGAATGGAACAGAGGTACCCAAGCAATCGACTTTTGTATAAAGTCTCCCTCTGGTAACTCCTACCGTCTCGCCTCAAAACAAATTTATACGAAAGTATAAAAGCATTTTGCATCACCTGAAAAATCATTTTTTACCATATCAATGATGAAAACTGCAGTAGACCGGGAAAATCTATATTTGGATTTGAATTCATCTTCTTGAAGCTCTTCCAATGGATTCTTACGATTTCTATATAATTGTCTCATTAATTTATTTATTCTGATTCGATACATACAGCACGATTCAAGTATACACATAGATCTTACAAAATGTGATGGCTTAACAACTAGCACATATTAAATCTTAAAATTAGACCAAAAAATAAAAAAAAAAGTACACTAGTTATTCTGTGAAACAAATAAGTGACAATAGCCACCTAGCAAAGTTAGTTTTTACATCAAAATAGACAGTACAAAATGAAATGAAATGTATCTACTTTGTAACACCAACGCCAAGTAATGTGAGGGTAATTTAGGCAACGAAAATGTTTTATGATTCTGAATATATTTTATGTTTATCGTACCTACTCGTAAAGATTCTGTTTTATATAATGTAAAGGCAATAATAGTATTTTTTTATTATATTTTCTTAATCTACAAACTAATTAACGGAGTCCAGTTTGGCAGATTCGTAATCCCATTTATTTTTTCTATAAGCCTCAAATCATTGTAAAATTAATCTCTAGCCATTTTATTTAACTTAAACAAATTACAGCACGTCATAACGACAAATTATAAAAAGTTCCTACACAAAGACTGAAAACTAAATATGCGAATATGCGACCGGGCCATAAAACAACTGATCCTTTAAAAGTACACCCTTATTCCATCGCTAAACTACCTGGTGACCGGGTTTAACTTTTACTCCGAGAGTAACGTTGGACTAACTTACTCAATCGTTATTCCGTGTTTATTAATATAAAAATTGGCTAATATTGTTTTGTTACTTGGAATAAAAATAATCCGGTTTTACTTTGTGTTTCATACGTGTATAAGAGGGCTAGTGTATACTGTTAACGCAGGCGGTATTAAAAATTCATAAAAAAAAAACTATTAGAAAAAAAAACTGCTTAGTAGCTTTGATAACCCAATAGTTAAAAAACCTAAACATAGTTAATTTGTGGTTTAGGAAGTAAATAAAAGCTAATAGTTTTGTGTTCCTTTAGTTCATCAATCTAAGAAATTAAGTTCCGCTCTTTTTTTTCAATACTTCCTCATTTAAGAAGTCTAGTTGAAGAGAAACGTCATTGTTTATCTGCCACAATAGATCTATGAATGTATCACAATAGCCCGAGTTTAACACAAATTTGTAAAGAAGTCTTTTTTTTTTATCATATAATGCCGTTGGCGATCGCACTACACGAATATTTAAAATAAATAGTAGGTAGGCCTGAACACAATAGGCGTCAATGTCGCCGCGGATCGGTCGAATGGAATTGTTTTGTCAGCGCCTGGCAAAACATTTGGATTCAGCTTCGTAACGTCAGTGCAGTGTGATCAGTAGTCGAGATTGACTGCTCCCACTGCGGTCTGAGGCTCGGCGTTGTGTTTTTATACACGCGCGCTATTTGTTTAAGTTTAGCGAGATGTCAACTAATATAATGTGCGATAAATATCAGAACGATACGAAACTGAACGGTCTCACAATTAGTGCATTCAATGATAAGAATTTAGCTCCTATAAACGCAAGGTACAGATCGAAGAGTTTGTCCAGTGATAAATTGAATAATAGTAACGCGGATCGTGCCGCTATTTTAGAAGATGCCGAGGACCATCACGTAACAGAAAAAATGGAGACGCCCAGTTGTTTAGTACAGAACAGAATTATGGACCAGGGTGTACAGTCGGCGAACGGGTAAGTAAATTATTGTTTCACGAATTTTTTTTTTCCACCTGCATGACCTTTTGACAGACGTAAGAATGCGTTCAGAAAGGTGTGGAATGATTTAAATAAATGGAATACGCGTTCATACTATTTTAAATAACAGCCATTATACTTTTAAATATTCTTAGCTATATTGTGTGTAGACAAATAGCAGTTTTACGTATTTACTATGTTATCTACATATGTTATTTCAATGTTAGGAAGAATGATTTTTAAAATCATAATTGGGATAGATTTTTTTTTAAAGCAATGCAATAATTGTAAATGCTTTAAGAATATATATTAACCTAATCATAGTTGGCAAAGAAAATATATTTATTTATTCGTGTAACCTAATATTTTTATTGATTGAAAATATATGTTATTCAAATTCATTTAATTGGGGGGAAAAGGATTGTTAGCAATGGAGTTTGACAGCCCTATTGATAGCAATATACCTTATTAGGTCGACCTCCACGTGGTTCCCCCTGGAAACCATCGTGAACAATTCTTGTTGAATTCGTCACGATGGGCCAACTGACCTGCTTCATCCTCACCTATCATCCTTCACTAGTGCCCCGCAGGTGTATACAGATAGCGCGGGTGAGGTTACTATTTCATTATCATCCATTAAAAAAAATACATTTAATTCCAGACAACAAGATCTATTTCGTTGGTACTTAAAATTACATTAGTGAAAAAGGTTTAAAAAAAAATTATGGTCATAATATTTTTTGTGTACAAAATTGACATTAGAATCTTTTAATCTACTACTAGGTTATAGCTAGGTATGGAATGGGTCTCTACCCTGAGAAAAATATAAGCTTGCTATTACAATGTAGGTATGACATTACAAAAAAAAAAATTTACGTTCTCTTGCTCTGATCTTATACTTTCATTATCTTTTGCTTCCCTTTTCGTTTAATTAACTATTCGAGAATGTAAAAGAAGCGATCACATATCAGTTATCTTTACTCCATCAAAATCTCCATTACTGGTATGGGGTGGGGGGAGGGATTGTTAGTAACGGGTTCTAACACTGTTGCACTGCGGGTATATATCGATAGCACAGGCAGGGTTACTATTTATTTTTCAGCAGTTAAAAAATAAAATAAAATTATACATTTCATATTTATTTTATTAGCCATTTTTGACACGTCATGTGTTACAATATAGTAAATATAATACAAGTAAACGATCAATATTATAACTAAGTTACCACAGTTTCAAAATATATGTTTCAAACTATTTTCCTACCATTTGGACGAGTTGTAGTCTTCCATTGTGCGTTTTTCAAGGCCCTTTCCACGCACAACCACTCTTTGGAATCAACTTCCAGCAGCAGTATTTCCGAACCGATACGACAACATAACCTTCAAGAAAAGAGCATAATCCTTTTTAAAAGGCCGACAGCACACTTGCAATGCCGCTGGTGTTGTGGGTGATCATGGGCGGCGGTAGTCACTTACCATCAGGTTATTTATTTATTTTTTTATATACAACTTAGAATGGCAAACAAGCTGACGGCCCACCTGATGGAAAGTGGTAACCGTCGCCTATAGACATGAGCAGTACCATGGACCTAACACAATATACTGTTTCGCCCATGATAACTTCCATGTGTTGTCATTCCTGAGGACTCAGGTGTTATTCCTCTGTACCCAGTAAATTCACGCCATATCCCACCCTTCAAACCGAAACACAGCCATGCAAACACAACTGCTTCACGGTTGAAACACGAATGGGATAGAGGTACCCAAGCAATCGACTTTTGTACAAAGTCTCCCTCTGGTAAAAGTGGTGAGCCGCATGCTAGTTTGCCCCCTGTGTTGTAAAAAAAAATTATAGTCACAGCAAATTTACAAACTAGACATGTACATATAAGTCCAATAATTATAATACTAATTTAAACGGGCAAAGTTACAGCTGATAAATATAATGATCATGACGAATACCAGAGGGAGACTTTGTACAAAAGTCGATTGCTTGGGTACCTCTGTCCCATTCGTGTTTCAACCGTGAAGCAGCTGTATTTGCATGGCTGTGTTTCGGTTTGAAGGGTGGGATATGGCGTGAATTTACAGGGTACAGAGGAATAACACCTGAGTCCTCAGGAATGGTAACGCATGGGGGGGTATCATGGGCGAAACAGTATACTCTGTTATGTCCATGATACTGCTCATGTCTATAGGCGACGGTTACTACTTTCCATCAGGTGGGCCGTCAGTTTGTTTGCCATTCTAAGTTGTATATAAAAAAAAGTTATACATCATCATCGTCATTATATCAGCTGTTAACTTATCACTGCAGGGGGGAAAGGGATTGTTAGTATTGGGATCAAATAGCCCCATTACTAGCAATATACCCTGTCAAGTCGACCTACACGTGGTTCCCCCTGGAAACCGTCGTGACAAATTCTAGTTGAATTCGTTAGGTTGGGCTAACTGACCTGCTTTCATCCTCATCTATCATTCCTCACTGGTATTCCTCTTATATTATTGCATTAAAACATACAGTAACCGATAGCGCAGACGGGATTACCATACCATTTCTTTTTATTTTTTTTTGATGGGTGAAAATAGTATGGTAACCTCGCCTGCGCTAACGGGATACACTGGCGGTACACCAGTGAGGAATGATAGGTGGGAATGAAAAGGCAGTAAATGACGTGCCCACCGTGACGAATGCAAGTCACGATAGTTTCCAGGGGGAACCGCGTGGAGGTCGACCTGATAGAGTATATTGATAGCAATGGGGACTATCCTCCCCACTACTAACAATCCGTTCCCCCCATTACCATACCATTATCATCCATTAAACAAACTGTCCACTGCTGAACATAGGCCATACATAGTTATACATACCTAATATATTTTTATTTATCTATGTTAATAAATAGGTAAAAAAAAACTAAAAAAATGTTTAGCCTCAAAATAAATTATTTTTTCTAAATAAATATATATTATACATAGACAACTTCCAGACCAGGGGGGAAAGGGATTGTTAGCAATGGAGTTTGACAGCTCCATTGCTAGCAATATGCCTTATTAGGTCGACCTCCACGTGGTTCCTCTTGGAAACTACCTTACCTACCTCATCCTACTTCATCCTCGCCTATCATGCTTCACTGGTGCTCCGCCAGTGTATACCGGTAGCGCAGGCGGTGTTACCATTCCATTATCATCTATTAAAAAAAAAAACTTCCAAACCAATACAAACAGTCACACTCATCAATACAAATGTTTGGATTGTCCGGCGATCGAAATTCTTCTTATACTAATTATTATTTGACTAATATAAGTGAAATAATAATATATACATATTATTACATGGTCCCGGCATAGAATGCGCCATACCTTCTATTCCCGTAGGTGTTTTTTTTTTTATGGTTTGCGGTACAGTATTTAAGGCATCCCGTCCTCGCTATTGGATACGGGTGACGGAATGCCTATACAAGAGGGTAAACCTACCCTTTGTTTTTCTTTCTTTTCTCAATGTTCTCTACCCAAAGGTTGAGAGAAGGTCTGGAAGAGATTGCTTAGCGATAAGGCCGCCATTTGTATCATTTCTTATTACAGTTAAATGTGTTTACTATTTTATAAATGGTACAATAAAGTGTACATAAATAAATAAATAAATGGTGGGCGCAGTTTAGACGCAATATTTGAGGAACATTAGGAAGGTACTACGGCCGGATACTGCAACAAAAGAGTATGTGGTCGGCCCCCGAACTGGCGACCTCTGCTGTCTACCGGTCCCCAATTCGAGGGATTTCCGTGGGTGTTGTGAGAGGCGACAAAGGGAAATTAATGATGGGCAGAAGCGTCCCCCTTGAAACATCACCTAAGTCGGTTAACAACCCGCTTGCCAATTACTACAGTAGTCACTTATTTATTTATTTATTTAACGGCAAATATAATAATAATAATAATATGTGAAATACCATAATAATAATAAATGAAAATTTAATGAAATGACTAAAATGTTGTTAGTTTCAATTCGATTATTTTTTCATTTTTTTTTTATACAACTTAGAATGGCGAAGAAGCTGACGGCCCACCTGATGGAAAGTGGTAACCGTCGCCTATACACATGAGCAGTACCATGGACATAACAGAGCATACTGTTTCGCCCATTATATTATAGTCTTTATAACGAATTAATGATTATTTAGGTATTTTTTATTACAATATCATTGCAAATAATGCGTATTTTACGTCATCCATTTATGTGTATAATGTCTTTCTTATGTATTTACTTAGGCTTATTCATTTGTTTATTTCCTTTCGTGTGAAGGATTTTTTATCGCGGCTTGGTGAATCGGTTTTTTTTTTGGAAATTTTTAACGGCTTTGGAAACTAGTCTTTTCTTGTTCGAATTGAAATAAACATTTCAATTAAAAATTTTTACACTAAAGTTATTGAACATATTTATTATAGGGAGATTTTGTACAAAAGTCGTTTGCTTGGGTGCCTCTGTCCCTTTCGTGTTTTAAACGTGAAGCAGTTGTGTTTGCAAGGCTGTGTTTCGATTAGAAGGGTGGGATATGACAATGAATTTACAGGGTACAGAGACATAGCAACTTAGTCCTTAATAATAGCAATGCATGGGGGGGGGGGGGTATCATAGGCGAAACAGTATAATCTGTTATGTCTATGGTACTGTTCATGTCTACTCGTATAGATGACGGTTACCACTTTCCTTTATGTGGACCGTCATTTTGTTTGCCATTCTATGTTGTATAAAAAAATCACAAGTTAATATCACATTATAATTTTTCAACCGTACTAAATTAAAATTTAGTAAATTCTGAGACACTCTTTTGCATATAGTAAAAAAAATATGGCGAACGAATTAGAAAATTAGCTTGCCATAATTTTTGTTTGATGGATTCGTTCCTCAGAGAAACAGGCTAAGATCAGAGACCATGCTGCCAAGTCTTAAATGTAAAAAAATTGCTGCTTACCATAAATTTGTCAATTCCAAACCGTTGACACTTTAACATCAGAGAATGATTTAAGATTTATCATCATTATATCAGCCTTTAACTGTCCACTGTTGAACATAAGTCTCCACTATTGGGGGTTTTGCCAGTAGTTGCCACGCTTGGCAGGTGGATTGGCAACCGCAGTTAGGCTTTGGAGATGTTTTAAGAGGAAGGCTGCTCTTTATTAGTGATGAAGTTAGATATTATATAAATACAGTGTCTTCATACAATTGCTTCGCAAAAAACAGGTCAACTTAGTTGTCCATGCATGCTTGATGTGATACCACAATGTACATTTTAAAAAATATAAAGAATAGTCTTGTGAATATAATTGATAATTAAAAAGAAAAGGTCGCGTTTCGATTTAATTAAAAAAAAATATGTGTCAAATTTAACCGGTCATTTAATCACTTTTTCTGATTAAATGTTGACCTGTTTTTTACACTCAATGCTTTATGTATATAATCTAAGTATATCCCATATTGATTTCATGATTATTTATGATGCAGTTTTTTTTTGCAGAGTAGAAAGCTGTTTAAATAAAAAAAAAACTGTCTAGAAGGAATTTAGAACGCGAGATTATATGTTTTAATTCCGCATTCTAAATTTAAATTTACGTCACAATTGTAACGATAATTATTTTATGTATCAGAACCTACTTTATTAATATCATAATATATACATATGTAGATAAGTAGGTAAGTAACATATTTATGATCTAGTTGTTATTCAATGCAACTTGTTTACATACTATGTAAATAATATACAATTATCATTAGTAATATATACTCACTTTGATATTCATAGTACGCTGCATAAATGTAGGACAGTAAAATCAATGATTATTTCTAAAGGTCTAACTAAAAATCTGATATATATTTTATCTTAATACGTTATCTAGAAGTAGTCTCTTTCATTTTTTTTTAATGGATGTAAATAGAACGGTATTCCCGCCTTTGATAACGGTATACGCTGGCGGGGTACCAGTGAGGGATGATAGGTGAAAATAAAAAGGCAGGTCAGTTAGCCTATCGTGATGCATACATCTGGAATTCAATACGTTGGTTTATAGAACTATGTAGAGGTCGACCTAACAGTGTATATTTTTTTTATGGGTGAAAATGGTATGGTAACGGTAACTCCGCCTGCGCTAATGGGATACGCTGGCGGAGCACCAGTGAAGGGTGATAGATGAGAATGAAAACAGGCCAGTTAGCCCATCATGAATTCATCAGGAATTAACCATGATAGTTTCCAGGGGGAACTGCGAGGAGGTCGACCTGATTGGGTATATTGCTAGCAATGAACAGCGTATATTGCTGGCAATGGGATTGGTAGTTCGCATTACTAGCAATACCTCACCCTCAGTCTATTTCGTAAATTCCTACTTCCAATATCCACGTGTACGGAATCGCAGGCAAAAGTTAGTTAATGAAAGAAACCAGTAGAAAATTGGTTATATAATTTAATTTTGTACGAGGAACAGTATATATAGTTACTATTGCGTTTCATTTCTTTATCACTAAGCGATTGATGATTATTTACCAACATTGATAAAGTTGTTTACTCAAGATAGGAACGTGTGCGCGGTTGCTTCGGCTTTCATTCATGAATAACTTCTGTAAATGTACACACATTTTCCCAGACCAATAAAAAATTCCAATCTCCAAAGTAAATATAACTCTCCGATTGCAACTTCAGCTTGCTTGTCTTTCGGACTGTGTCGGTCTGTTACTATTTATGTTTAAATAGTTTTTTTTTAATGGATGATAATGAAATGGTAACCCCACCCGCGCTATCGGTATACACCGGCGGGGCACCAGTGAAGGATGATAGGTGAGGATAAAGTAGGTCAGTTAGCCCATCGTGACGAATTCAACAAGAATTGTTTACGATGGTTTCCAGGGAGAACCACGTGGTCTACCTAATAAGGCATATTGCTAGCAATAGCGCTGTCAAACTCCATTGCTAACAATCCCTTTCCCCCCTGTTTAAATAGTATTTATTTTTGTGATTTTATTTTATGCAACTTAGAGTGACGAATAAGCTGATAACCCACCTGATGAAAACCGTCGCCTATAGGGATAAGCAATACCAAATACCATGGAAATAACAGAGTATAGCATAGTAGTAACTGTTTCGCCCATGACACTCCCCATGCGTTGCCATTCCTGAGGTCTCAGGTATTATCAGGTCTACAGGTTGCAGGTATTGTGCAAGTTCAAAGTCGAGCAATAAAACCAATATAAATTTAGGAATTTATTTCTGATTATATGTTGATATATTGTATCTTAAATAATCTCAGGTGTTTTTTTATGGATGATAATGGAATGGTAACCCCCTCTGCGCTAGTGATATACGCTGGCGGGGCACCAGTGAGAAAAGATCGGTGAGGATGAAAGACAGGACAGTTAGCCCATCCTGACGAATTCAACTTATACTAATACCATTCCATTTTCATCCATCATTTTTAAAGTCGGGAACTAAATTACAATAATACATACAAAACTCATAATTCATACTAGCTAGTTGTTTAGTGTATCGTAAAAGGTAATATTTAGTCTTCACATGGAAAATTATTATTTTTAACTAGCTATATCGCGCGACATTGCCCATGCAAAACTGTATATAAAATATCCTATGTGCTGAGTTAGGATATAATCTACCCGTATACCAAATTCAATTTTTTTTATGCAACTTAAAATGGGAAACAAGCTGACGGCCCACCTCATGGAAAGTGGTAGTCGTCGCCTATAGACATTCGGTTCGATTCGACGGTTACCACTTTCCATCAGGTGGGCCGTCAGCTTGTTTGCCATTCTAAGTTGTATAAAAATAATCACGAGTAAATATCACATTATAATTTTTCAACCGTATTTACAAGAAACTTGTACAAGTATTTAAAGAATTTACTAAATTAAAATTTAGTAAATTCTGAGACACTTTTGTTGCATATAGTAAAAAAATATGGCGAACGAATTAGAAAATTAGCTTGCCATAATTTTTGTTTGATGGATTCGTTCCTCAGAGAAACAGGCTAAGATCAGAGACCATGCTGCCAAGTCTTAAATGTAAAAAATTTGCTGCTTACCATAAATCTGTCAATTCCAAACCGTTGACATTTTAACATCAGAGAATGATTTAAGATTTATCATCATTATATCAACCTTTAACTGTCCACTGTTGAACATAAGTCTCCCCTATCGGGGGTTTTGCCAGTAGTTGCCACGCTTGGCAGGTGGATTGGCAACCGCAGTTAGGCTTTGGAGATGTTTTAAGAGGGAAGCTGCTCTTTATTAGTGATGAAGTTAGATATAAATACAGTCTTCATAGAATTGCTTCGCAAAAAACAGGTCAACTTAGTTATCCATGCATGCTTGATGTGATACCATAACGTACATTTAAAAAAATATAAAGGATAGTTCTTGTAAATATATTTGATAATTAAAAAAAAAATCATTTTATTTAAAAAAAATATGTGTCAAATTTACCCGGTCAAATATCACTTTTACTGATTAAACG